CTCACTCTCTCGCTCACTCTCTCGCTCACTCTCTCGCTCGCTCACTCTCTCACTCACTCTCTCACTCGCTCGCTCACTCTCTCGCTCTCTCGCTCACTCACTCGCTCGCTCTCTCGCTCGCTCTCTCGCTCGCTCTCTCGCTCGCTCTCTCGCTCGCTCTCTCGCTCGCTCGCTCCCTCCCTCGCTCCCTCTCTCGCTCGCTCTCTCGCTCGCTCACTCTCTCACTCGCTCTCTCACTCGCTCGCTCACTCTCTCGCTCTCTCGCTCGCTCTCTCGCTCGCTCTCTCGCTCGCTCTCTCGCTCGCTCTCTCGCTCGCTCTCTCGCTCGCTCTCTCGCTCGCTCTCTCGCTCGCTCTCTCGCTCGCTCTCTCGCTCGCTCTCTCGCTCACTCTCTCGCTCACTCTCTCGCTCGCTCTCTCGCTCGCTCGCTCGCTCACTCTCTCACTCACTCTCTCACTCGCTCGCTCACTCTCTCGCTCTCTCGCTCGCTCACTCGCTCGCTCTCTCGCTCGCTCTCTCGCTCGCTCCCTCCCTCGCTCCCTCCCTCGCTCGCTCTCTCGCTCGCTCTCTCGCTCGCTCGCTCTCTCACTCGCTCTCTCACTCGCTCGCTCACTCTCTCGCTCTCTCGCTCGCTCTCTCGCTCGCTCTCTCGCTCGCTCTCTCGCTCGCTCTCTCGCTCGCTCTCTCGCTCACTCTCTCGCTTGCTCTCTCGCTCGCTCTCTCGCTCGCTCGCTCGCTCGCTCGCATCGCTCGCTCACTCTCTCGCTCACTCACTCTCTCACTCACTCTCTCACTCGCTCGCTCACTCTCTCGCTCTCTCGCTCACTCACTCGCTCGCTCTCTCGCTCGCTCTCTCGCTCGCTCTCTCGCTCGCTCTCTCGCTCGCTCGCTCCCTCTCTCGCTCACTCTCTCGCTCACTCTCTCGCTCACTCTCTCGCTCACTCTCTCGCTCACTCTCTCGCTCACTCTCTCGCTCACTCTCTCGCTCACTCTCTCACTTGCTCGCTCACTCACTCGCTCACTCACTCGCTCGCTCACTTTCTCTCGCGCTCTTTCACTTCACACACTTGCACACTCACACACTCTTCCACCTCACTCACTCACTCACTCTCTCTCTTTCACTTCACACACACACTTACACACACTCTCGCGCTCTTCCACCTCACAGACACTCACTCTCACGCTCACTCTCGCGCTCTTTCACTTCACACACACACACACTCTCACAATCTCTTGCGCTGTTCCACCTCACACACACACTCTCTCGCTCACTCACTCGCTCTCTCTCCATCTTCACTCACACACACACTTACACACACTCACACACTCTCTCTTTCACTTCACACACACACTTACACACACTCTCGCGCTCTTCCTCCTCACACACACTCACTCACTCACTCACTCTCTTTCACTTCACACACACAAACACTCTCACACTCTCTTGCGCTGTTCCACCTCACACACACACTCACTCTCTCTCTTTCACTTCACACACACACTTACACACACTCACACACTCTCGCGCTCTTTCACTTCACACACACACACACTCTCACACTCTCTTGCGCTGTTCCACCTCACACACACACTCTCTCGCTCACTCACTCGCTCTCTCTCCTACTTCACTCACACACACGAGGTCGAGTGACTCTCTCTCTGTGGTGTGAGTGGCGTCCCCCGGAGAGAGAGAGAGAGTAATGAAGGCCTGCAGAGGAAGATTAGAGGGGAAGACGCCTGTGATAAACACAAACCCTGAGTTCCTCTCTTCATCCCTTCATTATCTCTGCGCCCCAGTGCATTGTGGGAGCCCGTTCAGATCTGCAGCGACAGCATCAGCAGGAAGGGCCGAAGCTGCGTTTCCCTTGTCATCACGGCGGACTCTCAGGAGAGGGAGTTTCATTCACAGCAGCAGATTCTGCTTTTACACGTTAGTTCTGCTCGAGTAATCTGAAGCTGAGTGTTGAGATGATCGCAGACGGACACAAACTTGTAATATATATTTGCACTTATTCTTACATTCACACGCCCGGTACAACCTCAGTTAGACCCCTGCAACTCCCCCAACCTGTCAAAGATTCAAACCCAGAGTACAGGTGTGTGTCTATCGTCTGCGAGTGCAACCTCAGCATCTGGGTGGTTGCTAGGGAGTTGCTATGAGGTTGCTAAGGTATTCTGGGTGGTTGCTAGGGAGTTGCTATGCGGTCACTGTGGTATTCGGGTTGCTGGCTAGGGTGTTGTTAGGGTACATGAGGTGGTTGCTAGGGGGATGCTATGCGGTTGCTAAGGTATTCTGGCTGGTTGCTAGGGGGTTGCTAAGGTATTCTGGGTGGTTGCTAGGGAGTTGCTCTGCGGTCACTGTGGTATTCGGGTTGCTGGCTAGGGTGTTGTTAGGGTACTTGAGGTGGTTGCTAGGGGGATGCTATGCAGTTGCTAAGGTATTCTGGTTGGTTGCTAGGGAGTCGCTATGAGGTTGCTAAGGTATTCTGGGTGGTGTGTG